GCAAATGCGAAGCTCTCCACATTTCTGCTTTGCTCGCAAAAGCGAATAAAAGTTCGCAAATGCGAACTGGCCTGAACGCAAATGCGACCCAATGATCGCAAATGCGAAGAATGTCCCCTCCCAGTCCCAATCGCAAATGCGAAGCATATATCGCAAATGCGAACATAAGGTGGCCCAGCCACTCTTCGCAAATGCGTTAAGTAGCTCGCAAATGCGAACCCAGCAGTGGTCGCAAATGCGATGCCTGATCTCGCATCCTGCAACATAACTAAAACACCAGCAACATTTCTAAGTCCAATTTTCACTTTGTAGCCTATCCGAAACTCACCGGAGCCCTGGGGCTCTAAACCAAAAGTGCACAAAAGTCTAAAAACATCATACGAACTTGCTCGCGCGATCAAATCATCAAATTAACACCTAGAACTACGAATTGAACACCAAATCAAATAAAATTTTCAAGAAAACTTTAGAACTTAGAGCAAGTTCTAGGTATTGGGCCTGATCTCGCATCCTGTAACATAACTGAAATACGAGCAACATTTCTAAGTCCAATTTTCACTCTGTAGCCTATCCGAAACTCACCCGAGCCCTGGGGCTCTAAACCAAAAGTGCACACAAGTCTAAAAACATCATACAAACTTGCCCGCGCGATCAAATCATCAAATTAACACCTAGAACTACGAATTGAACACCAAATTAAATGAAATTTTCAAGAAAACTTTGGAACTTCTATTTTCACAACCGGACGTCTGAATCACGTTTAACCAACTCCGTTTCTCGCCAAATTTCACAGACAAGTCATAAATATGGTATTGGGCCTATACCGGGTTCCGAAACCAAAATACGGACCCGATATCCAAAAAGTCAACTATTGGTCAAACATTTCAAATTCATTAAGCCTTTAACATTCAAATTTCAAGAAAGTTCGATATCTTGGGTTAGGGACTTCCGAATTCGATTCCGAGCATACGCCCAAGTCCCAAATCACGATACGGACGCACCGGGATCGTTAAAATACGAATCCGGGTTCATTTAGTCAAAACGTTGACCAAAGTCAACTCAAATGGTTTTCAAATCAAAATTTCGTATTTTTCCCGTTTTTAACATAAAAGCTTTACGGAAATACGTCCGGACTACGCATGCAAATCCAAGAGGACAAAATGAGGTTTTTAAGGCCTCGAAACCTAGTATTTGGTTTTAAAATACGAGATGACCTATCGGGTCATCGCACATACGAACTTGCTCGCGTGATCAAAATACCAATAATACCTAGAACTTTGAATCGGACATCAAAATACATGAGATTTTAAAAGAAACTCAAGAACTTCTAAATTCACAACTGAGCACCTGAATACTTTCAAATCAACTCCGTTTTGCATCAAATTTTGCAGACAAGTTTTAAATAGCAAAATAAACCTATACCAAGTTCTAAAATCAAAATCCGAACCGGTAGCAATAAAGTCAACCTACTGTCAAACCAAGAAAATCTTTAAACCTTCAAGTTACTAGTTTTCAACAAATCACGGCAAATTAAGTTAGGGACTTCCGAATTCAATTCCGGGCATACGCCCAAGTCCAAAATTACGATACAGACCCACCGGGATCGTCAAAATATCGATCCGGTGTCGTTTACCCAAAATATTGACCGTAGTCAACTCAAGTCATTTTTAAAGCTAAAAATCATGTTTTCTTCAAATTTTCGCATAAAATCTTTTCGAAAAATGACACGGACTGCGCACGCAAATCAAAAAATACTAAACGGAGCTAATCGAGGTCTTGAAACACGAAAATAAGGGCTAAAACTCAAAACTACCTATTGGGTCGTCACAAACTACTTCATCTAATAAAAATTAAATAGATTTTAAATAAATATTGAGTAGTAACTTGTAAACTAATTTGAAATAGCAAAAGCATTTGAAAAGAAAAAAAAGGTGAAGAAGGAATCTACAACAGAAGTATCAAAATAGAGCTAGTGATAAAGGATGATGTGTTTTTCCTTTATATCTGTAAATTGATATTTTTTTTTCCTTTTCTCTATGTAGAAGACGAAGAAAAGAAATAAAAAATAGGGCTAACAATAAAAAAATTAACTTTTAAGTTTTTTAACATTATAAAATAGAATACAAGTTGATTTTTATATTTCTTGTATTAAATTAAGAATTTGTTGTACAGCTCGAGCAACTAAATTATCGGTACAATCAAACATCACTGAATCAACCCCACTCCTCAGAGTGAGAAGGTCCCCCTTCTCTCTACTTCAAATTCCCTATCCATGGCGACTACTAACCAAAACACCAATAATCTGGAAATATCCATTCCTCCAAAACCTACTGATATTGTTCCTCTTCCTTCCCAATATACTTCAATGGTTCAAATTAATTCCTACAAGGATAAACTACTGGGGAAAATACAACCCCCCCCCCCCCAATGGAAGCCATAGTGATAACTTCTCTTCACCAATGTCCCTGGATCTCCCACATTCCACTCACCTCCCAGAAACACAAAGAACAGATGAGCAAGGGATTAAAAGTATAACTCTATCAGATGATGATATCCAAAGAATCTATGAACCTTGAAAATTCTCAGTGATCATAAAACTAATAGGAAAAAGAGTTTTACATCACTATCTCAAGGCAAAAATCCAAAATCTTTGGAAACCTACGGAAAACTTCTCCGTAATCGACCTAGGGGAGGACTACTATACAGTTAAATTTAATAAAGAGGAAAATGCAAGGAAGGCACTACAAAATGGCCCCTGGTTCATCAACGGATCATTTCTTTCTGTCCAAAAATGGACTCCAAATTTCGTAGCAACTAAAGCCACTCAAAGTTATACGGCCATTTGGATAAGACTATCTCATCTCCCAACTGAATTTTATGATGGGATCATCTTAGCCAAGATTGGGAATGCCATAGGGAAATTACTTAAAATAGACGCATGTACTTCGTCCACCATTAGAGGAAGATACGCAAGGTTATGTGTCCAAATTCCTCTGGAGCAAACGGTTCAATCCTACATAACTATTGGTTCCCATAGACAGCCAATCCTCTATGAAGGGGAATATATTTTATGTAAATCCTGTGGTTGCTTAGGCCACTCCTCATTGAAGTGTTCCACTCAAAGTCCTCATATCCAACCAGTGGCCAATCAGGAGTTTGAGAAGCTAAAGAAGCCGCCGGAAAATAATACAAACGAATGGCGGACTGTTACTTTTCCCAAAAAGAAAAAACAACCATTCATTGCTCAAGGAGAAGGATCATCAGCAAAAGAAAACATCTCTGCACCAGGTATAAATGTTAGGATCTTCGATGCTGCCACAGGTAAGTTTCTTAACACTCAAAAATTAAAGTATGTGGACAAAAACTCTATTATTTCGGATAATATTGAAACTAGTAAAATTATGGATAATAACCTATTAAAATTGGCTAATCCTACTATAGAGACTAAGGATACTATTAATACTATTTATTATACTAATGATAATGTTAATAACCATGAGCACACTGTTTCGTTTGAAACCGGTGTTTTTCAAAATACCACTAATACTGGCCATGCAAACCACTCCCACCATCAGCCAAGTGGAGCAAACGTGTCTCCACAAAAGGCTCCTATTAATAACAACGCCCGAATGATTGCCCCTACAAACAACCCCGGTAATGACCCCCCTAATCCTATAACAACCAATCACACGCCTTGTAATAATCCTTCTATTCACGTAATAGGAATAAATCATGAGTTTTCTTCTAGAAATCTGGCTAATAATAATCGCATGCAGACTAATGACCACTCAAAAATTACACACTTGACAAACTCGAGCCAACAAGTGTCGGAGGAAAAATCTAAAGCAGATTTTGATATAACCCCCACGAAACCTTTCCACTCCTCCATGCAAATAGATACTATACTTCCTACCTCACCTATTAACCTATCATCAACTCCTTCTGTTGATGCTTCTTCTTCTATATTAACAATCACTCCAAACCAAAATGGCTCGCACACCTCTGACTCTAAGAAGAAGGTACAGACTAATCCAACTCAATCGTCTCCATCGACCCTATTCGATGGACAACCTTCCCCCTCTTCCACAACAATTACCACCCTCTCCAGTGATATACGCCCAACCCCCAACCCTCCAAATCGCCAACCCCAATCTTGGATAGAGCTGGGTCTAATGGGCTATGCACTCTCGTTCAACCTTCAAATCAATGGCCAGGTTTCAGTTCTGATAATCCAGAACACCAACTACTTGGCTCAGCTAATCTCAGAAGGAATGCATCTGGCGATGAACAACTACATCAACCAGATGTGGATGAACAACATCCTGCAACCACTGGTACCATCAATGAACCAGAATATTGCAAACAACATGCAGAACATGTGGAATATTCCGGGGAACCCACAGACTCTAATGCCACCAAATATTCCTATCAACCTCCCCTTCTTTGCTCCGGAGGAAATGTCTGTAATGAACCCTATATTCACTCGCTGGGATGTGCAACAACCCCCACCCCCAAATGTCCAACAACAAGAACAACCTGCTCCAGTGGAAGTACCAGCTCAACCACAACCTCAGGAGAACATGCAAGAACAAGAACAAGGTCTAGAAGAGGAGGAAGAGCACAACCTTCACCAGGGGGAACCAAAGGTGGCATTCTCAAGCCTAAACGAAGTCAAAATTCTTATATTCAAAGAAAGGCTCCACAACAAGTGCATTCTGAGTTGCCCAATGACCTTGTTCAAATGCTCAATCGATATAAGGCCACCACACGATCCAACGGTAGGAAAAAACGTGGTAGTCTTAGTGCCATCACACAAGAGGAACATTGCAAGAGCAATGAGGGGCAACTCACACAACACCCTGATCCCCCCATAAATGAATCAGCCTATTAATTTTATTATCTGGAACGTGTGTGGTGCTAACAACCCAAACTTTAGAAGAAACCTAAGGGAACTCATGGACACGCACAAGCCTAGTCTTATTGCATTACTGGAGACTAGGATGGCCACTCACATCTCCATTCTTGAGGAATTCAACTTCACTGAAATGATCGAGGTAGCAGCAGAAGGTCGAGCTGGTGGAATGGTGATCCTTTGGAACCACAATAGGGTTGTAGTGAATAACTTCACAAGAAGGAACCAAGAGATCCATGCAATGATAGAGGTACAACCCAATCACAAACCTCGACTTTTTAGCTCTATTTACGCTAGTACTAATAAAATCAATAGAGACATCCTTTGGAAAAATTTAGAAATTATTTCGGATAACTATAAGGGCACTTGGTTAATGGGGGTGATTTTAATGATGTCACTAGGTCAGATGAAAAATTAGGGGGGAGGGCAGTGAACCAAAAAAGGGCAAAAAAAGTTATTGGAAGCCTTAATTATTGTATACTTCTTGACTTAGGATTTAAAGGACCAAAATTTACTTGATCAAACCATAGAAAGAAAAATAGGGGGCTTATAATGGAAAGACTTGACAATGTGTACTCTAATGTGGAATGGCTTGACCAATACCCCCAAGCCTCCATAATCCATTTGCCCAAGACATACTCGGATCACAACCCTATCCTAGTCTCGCTTAATAACTTCAATAAAAATCATTTGAATAAACCCTTTAGGCTAGAGACAATGTGGTGCTGCCATCCGGACTTTATCAATATTGTAAAAAAGAATTGGTCTAATAAAGACCTCCTAAAGGCTACTGCTTCGTTTGAGGATGATATAAGACAGTGGAGTAAAGTAAACTTTGATAGTATTAATCAAAGGAAAAGAAAAATTCTAGCTAGATTAGGAGGACTTTAAAGAATCCCTAATTATCATACAAGTACCTACCTACAACAATTAGAAGACACCCTCACTCAACAATATAACGACATCCTCAAATTAGAAGAAGATTACTGGAAATTGAGGTCTAGGGTATTATGGCTAAATGATGGAGATGCAAATACTAAATTTTTTCAAATATGTGCTACAAATAGAAGAAGGATTAATAAAATAGTCTTCTTCAAGGATGATAAAGGAAACTGGATAGACGACCACCAAAGCATAATGACTCACACAATAAACTACTTCAAGGATCTTTTTACCACTTCCCATCCTTACTCAAAATGGTACACAAATAGTAAGGACCCTGCTATATACACTAACAATGCCCTACTTAGTCTAGAACTACCCCTTGAGAATCAAGAAATAAGGAATGCAATATTCTCTTTCAAACCTTATAAGCCCCCGGGCTGGATGGCCTACACCCTTTTTCTATCAAAAGTATTGGGGTACCTTAAAAGAGAGTGTGCAAGCCTTCTGCCACAAAGTATTCAGAGATTGCCACATTCCTATTCCCATTAATAACACTTACTTGTGCCTAATCCCTAAGTTTGAAAATGCTAACAATATAAAGGATTTTAGGCCTATTAGCTTATGCAATACAATCTACAAGGTGATCACAAAAATAATCGCCAATAGACTGAGACCCCTTCTCAGTAATCTAATTGGACCTCATCAAGCCAGTTTTATTAAAGGTAGACGTGCTTGTGATAATGCTTTAATTATTCAAGAAATAGTGAACTACACCAGTCAATCAAAAGCAAAAGAAGGCAACATGTTACTAAAAATAGATCTCGAAAAGGCCTTTGATAAACTTGAGTGGTCCTTTATTCATAGAACTTTAAATTTTTTCAATTTTCCTCCTAAAAAATCATTAGTTTAATCATGTCTTGGATAACCACCCCCAGCTACTCAATCCTAGTGAATGGTACCAAATCTGACCCTTTTACACCAACAAGGGGGATTAGACAAGGTGATCCAATGTCCCCCTATATATTTATTTTATGCATGGAAATGCTGTCTATCATGATCAATCACAAAGTTGATACTAGGATGTGGGATGCCATAAAAATCAGCCCTAAAAGTCCTATGTTATCACACATGTTCTTTGCTGACAATATAACTCTCACATGCAAAGCTAGTACTAAAACAGCCCTCACAATTATCCAAATCCTCAATAATTTCTGTCTCTTGTCGGGCCAAACTATTAATAAAACAAAGTCCAAATTAATTATTTCTCCAAGTTGCTCTAAGACAACTAGGAGGGACTTGTCCTCTATCCTCGATATCAAACTAAGTGATAATTTTGCTACTTGGGCTTCCCCATTATTAATTCAAAACCAAATCACAAAGACTATCAGTTTGTAATTAATAAAATGAGAACTAAACTGGGGAATTGAAAAGCTAGGTGGCTAATAGATGCACCTTAGCTACATCTACTCTTAACAATATTCCTAATCACATCATGCAATTTACTCACCTCCCTACAAAAACAATCAAGGAAATTGACAAGATTCAAAGGAATTTCCTATGAAATTCTACTCCTGAAAAAAGAAAGCTACATCTCCTGAATTGGGATATTATTACAAAGGACAAGCAATCAGGGGGATTAGGAATTAGGAAAGCTAGAAGCAAGAATCTATCCTTGCTAACCAGTCTAGCCTGGAGGCTTATTAATACTACCTCTCTTTGGACTCAAATTCTGACTACTAAATATGCCACAACTAGGAATAAAAATCACTACTCTTTCATTTGGAAAAATCTTTTGACAGAATGGTACTACTGTAACAAGGGAACTAGGTGGGATATAAGCAACAAAAACCTTAATATTTGGGAGACAAATTGGATCCCCAATATTAATAACCTAAGAGCTTCAATTCAAGGTCCCCTTAATTACAATGAAGAAAAGCTGAATATAGGTAACATAATTTCCGGGAAGAACTGGGACCCCACAAAAATTTCGTTTGACTTGCCTTCTAACATTTCTAAGAATATAGATGCTATTGTGAGCTATAATACTTATAAAGCTAATTCTCTTCATAATATATGGAGTCTCAGCTCCAACGGGCTCTTCTCCACCTCCTCGTGCTACAAGCTTATAGAACAACAAAACCCTTGTGATAAGGATTACACATGGCTTTGGAATCTTCAATGTCCTAATAAAATAAAAAATATTCATTTGGAAATGCTACCATAATAGAATTCCTACAAGATCCTATCTAGCGCATATAGGGATGAACATAAACCCTAAATGTCCCACTTGCAAAGTACACGATGAAACAATTCACCACATCTTCTGAGATTGCTCAACTATTGCACACATTTGGTCAGACCTAGGAATTAAGCTTAATAACATAACGAAAGACCACTGGATTGACCAAATAAGAAATGCAGCGAACTCGTTTAACCATGCTCACCTTAAATGGGAAGATACTTATCCTTTTGCTATCTGGCTAATTTGGAAAAACAGGAATAATAATAACCATAATAATATAAACAACAGACTTAATTGGAACACTATCGTTAAAAATGATGTTGAATACTCCCTTCTCACAAAAAAAGGTATCAATTGCACTGTGCAAAAAAAACTACAAATTCAGTGGCATAAACCTCCTAAAGGTTGGGATAAATTTAATGTTGATGGTGCTTTCACTGAAGTTGCTTGCCAAGGTGGTATAGGTGGAGTAGCTAGAAGCAACACAGGAAGCTGGATACTAGGTTTTCATATGAAAACTCAAACACTATCAGCAACACAAGTGGATCTCCAAGCCTTGAGAGAATGCTTACAGCTTATAATGCAGCATAATCTACTGCCAGTGGAAATTGAGACAGACGCATCAGAAATTATTAATATGATAGCTAATGATCACCCTACTTACACCAAATTAATCTATGAATGCAGGTGGCTGATGAAACAAACAAGGAGGAAGGGCAAGGTGGTCCTCAGGCATAGCTTCAGACAAGGAAACAGTGTTGCCCATGCCTTGGCAAAAATGGCACTAAAGCAGTCCAACCTAAATAACATCACCCTTTTGGCAAATCTCCCGGAGCCGGCAATACATCAGTATCAACAGGATCTGGAGCACTTTTCTTCTATGAAATTTGTTCTAGTGTATGCTTAAAGTTGGCTGCCTTAGGAAACTTAGATGCCTTGCAAGGCACAGATATTATCGTGTAATATTTGGAACGTTTAGTTATTAATATTATGTCCTTATGTTCAAAAAAAAAAAAAAGAATATGTTTAGAAATTTTACTTCCAGTTTGGAGAGGTTTTCTAGGCTTACACCCCAAAGAAATAACTCGCCAATACCGAGGCGTACGTTAAAACAACGGGGCATATGCCTCGCGATACTTTCACTCTCATCCTCCAGATCGCTCTGGTGTACGTCTTTACTATGCCTCGCCTCGGAGCTTGTTTCGGAACTCTCCCCATAAAATACCTTTTAAAGCTCTAAATCTAATATAATATTTGTGGGTGAATTTTGGGTTAGTATTTGGCAGTGGTAGTAGTAAAGATCAGAATAAATTTCATATAAAATTATGAAATTATCGGTCCCATATAGAAAGTGAAATTATTTATTTAGATTATTTCCCCATGATTATAATCATGAGAGAACCTGATTTTGGAACAACTGACCGTCAAATTTATGGAGGATTCAGCAAATCCCAAGGTTGCACGTGTGTATAACTAAGTGATTTCCTTATCAAGAATCAGAAGAAATATAGTAGATTCAATTTTTATTTATATAGAAAAAGAAATATGGTCAATCAAGGGTATATATGTTATTTTAAAAAAATTATTGTGTTGTTTGCATTTTTTAAATGCAAATTGTGTCCTTCTTGATATACGTGTAAAAGTTTAAATGTAGTGTTGATAAGACTACTTTTACATAGAGTTACTCCATGCAAATACTCATTTTGAATTTTTTTTCTTATTTGATAAAATTATTAATTTTTGTTTCAGTCAACTAAAAGTTTTCACTGAAAAAATAAATTTAATTTTTAAATAATAAAGTAACAAAAAGAAATATAGATAAATATTTACAAGATTTTCATATTTACCCATACTATTTTAACACAATTTAAAAAATAAAATTAAAGGTTTTCATGTATTCACACTATTCGAAGGTGGTTTCAAACCTAAAAGTTTTATATTCAAAAGTAAATATTACTTTGTTAATAATTATCTTGGTTTTTAACATACTGATTTAAGCAAAGTATTAAATCAGTTCGACAAAAAATGGTGTTCTAATAACATTATTTTTACTACAAGCAATGCGTGTTCTTGTTCTAAAACATCGAGGATATTGTCTTTTAATTTACTCTTATATTAATATTTCTCAGTCAAAATTTCAAGCATAAATAACTTTTTTCATTTTTCCTTCCTCATTTTTATTTTCTTCCACTTCAACGCTGCTAATTTTCTTGTTTCACTTTCAAATTTAACTCCTTTAGTTTGTTAAGATTAATTTCTTATTCTCTATTTAATACTTTGCTTAAACCAATGTATACATTCAGTATAACTGTATTGAGAACTAATATAATACACTATAACAAAGTAATTTATGTTTTTTATAATAGAAATAAGAGAAAATGGGTCGGGTCATGGAACGGTCGAGTCATGGTTCAAATGGAATTTTTGATTTTTAAATGGTTGTGCTGCAAAAAATATGAAAAATAATATATAATATATTAATAATGCCCTAAGGGGTCGTTTGGTTGGAATATGATTTATACCGGTATAAGTTATGCCGGTATAAGTTATATTGGGATAAGTTATGCTGGGATTAGTTGTGCTGGAATTGTAGTTTATTCATTGTTTGGTATGTTGTATTAAGAATGACAATTGCATAATTTCTAAGAAGAAAGTATAAGTTATACCGGTGCTAATTATCCCACCTTCTATAAGGTATAAGTTATTCCGGTGTTAAAATTAACACCGGGATAACTTATACCTGATTTGCTAACCAAACAGAGTATTAAGGTGGTATTAAATTTTTATACCACCCTTATACCTTCTTATACCTCATACCAAACGATCCCTAATAGTGTTGAGTGACTTGGAGTTATAATGTGCAAAGTATGATAACTTTCTATTAGTTCACTGACCATACCAGAAATGACTCATAAATCCTGCCATTCTTTTTGGACCTAAGCATAAAGGGCGGCTATAAAGCATCTCAACTTTCTTTATTTCGTTGGTCCTTCTGCAATTTTTAGCCAAACATCTGAGATGGACGGGAGTTATCAGATGTTTCTTTTTCGCAACGTCAATGGAGTTTTCTCCTAAATTCCCAATATAAGAGGTCAGTGTGCTTCTATAGGCAATCGACCATAGGATGTCTAACGCGTGTCATCTCCAGCTATGTCACTATAGTGGAGAAAATGCAGGTGGGCTCTCATAGTCTCGAAGGCTCTAAGCCGTATACCACCGACCTTTTGTTATTATGATATCTCAAATTGGATTTGGATGTGACATGCTGCTCTTTTGATCTACACTTCTCTACATCATAGACGCCGCCTCTGTTATAGCCTTTTCATATCACGTGAAGACCCTTAAGCTTTGCATTTAAAGGCCTTTTTTGTCCCATGATGTATGTAATTGGTGTTACGTATTTTCATGATTTTCTTATCATATTTAATTTTTTTTATATTTTAAAAGAAAAAGTTAATATAATTATCATAATTGAGTTTTTATTTTTATAGTAAAAAATTATAAATTTTTTATATTTGGCTAGCCCCTTTTCGTGCAGGAAAATATTTTGATTTCTATAAATTAAGGATACTTTATTCTCATTCGGTAGCATCCACAATGTAGCCACATAGGATTTGAGAGTTGTGTTTAGGGGGAGAACTTTACGAGATAAGTGTTAGTATGTCACTTGTATTTGTCTCTTCGTGAGGTTGTTCTCTCGATATTTTGACTCTCTTTTAAGATAGTAGATTGCTCATCTCCACCCGTGGACGTAGGACAATTGGCCAAATCACGTTAAATGTTTGTGTCTCTTTTGATATATTTCTCTTTTGTTATCTAATTAATCGTTATTCAAGATTTGTTTTACTAGCTTCCGCATGACACATGATTGTTTAGATCCTAACAATTTAGAGTATGATGTTTAAGTTGATTAACTTTTATAAATAAATTCGGACATAAATTTATTTGTTTAGAGACGTAGAGTTTTATGAGTCACAATAGTTAGCAAGTTAAAATTTGTAAAAAAATTATAAAAACGTTAACAAAAAAGAATTATTTAACTCTTCAAATAATAAATAAAATGAAACGGAAAGAAATATGTCATTTTAATTTGTAAATTGTACTTCAAATAGATTAAGAAAATTATATATTCAAGTTTACACTAAAATTAGAGGTTGACCGTACTTTTTGGAGAGAGAATGTATGTTTTATTTCTTACTCCCGAAACTTTAATATTTTGTTGCGCATTGTCGAACTGTGACCAACAGTGCTATTACCCATTATTCAAACCCTTAAATCACATTTCCAAACAAGTACAGCAATATAACAGGGATCTTATGTGATTGAGGTTGATAGTATATCAGTTCATATACTAACAACAACATTACAAGCCAAAATAATCCCATAACCCACATATTATGGAGCATCAAAATATCTAAGTATAGTTGAAACGGGATACCATCCAATAAAAGTGAACAAGACATAAAACCCAAGATGGCCTCCACAGATAATTAATGTGAAAGGCTCACCACTGCTGTTCTCAAGAATAGCAAAGACTCGGTCCACTGCGATATCTGCTTAAAAATCTCAAAATCTACACATAAAGTAAGGAAGTGAGTCCCCTAGAAAATTTCAAGGAAATCATGCGACAAATTTCATTATACTCATTAATGAAATTTATACTCATTAAACCCAAACAATTTATCGGTCCACTGCGATAAGCATTTTCAAGGAAAATTTCACTTTATACTCATTAAACCCAAACAATTTATCCTTTACTATCACCCGAAAGATTTACTTTTTCTACCCATTAAGCCTAAACTATTTACCCTCCTACCTAATCCCTTTTCAGTTTCTCTAAACCAGCAGAGTCTCACACCCCACATTTATTTCCCCTTTCAAAAAACACTCATAGTTTAGTCTTTTTAGTGGCTGATGAAAATCTAGTACAAACCCATGCACTTACCCTTTTTTTTAGATTTTTCTATATAAATTTTAAAAGAAAAAATTTCATATTATTGTACATGAGTTTCACTCCAAAATCCTCTTTCTATATTAGTATATTCTTTTTTGTGTATTTATTTGTATTTCTGAACTCGTGTGTTGTTGTGGTTATATATATTAAGTTTCCCAAATATGACTTTTGTGTGTGTATGTAGACCCACCATTGTTGAGCTTGAAGCTCCTGAATTTGAAATTTATTTTGAAGATTTGTTGTTTGATTCAATGTGGGTACTATAAAATATTGCTTATAGTACCTTGCAGTAAGCTTCCCAGATCTGAAATTTTATGTGTATTTGAATATCTACTATTATTGGGCTTCAAGTTCTTGAATTTAAACTTTTTATTTTAAAGATTTATTTTTTGATTCAAAGTGAGTGTTAAATATTTCTTATATTACCTTCTGGAAGTTCATACTGAAATTTGATCTCATTTGGAGCTGATTTGAGGTGATTGAGATGGAATTTTTTTGCTAAAGATCGAAGAAGAACATTGTTACTCAACAGTATACCGCTACGGTATACAATATATTGTAGGAGTATATAGCTATACTACAACAGTATACTGTTATAGTATATAATATACTGCAACAGTATATTGTAATAATCGAAGAAGAACACATTTACCTAACAAGATACCGCTATGGTATATAATATATTGTAGGAGTATACAACTATACTGCAATAATATACTGTTATAGTATACAATATATTGTAACGGTATACTGTAATAATATGTAGTATAGCATAATAATATACAATATACCATAATAGTATACTTTGACTACTATTTTGTTCAATCATCTAGGTGCTATTTTGCAAAGCTAAATGTATGGTTATAGTAGCATTATATTGTTATAGTATACAATATAATATAACAGTATACTGTAATAAATAAGTCATTTTTTATTTTATTTTAAAGTTTTCC